TCGTGTTAAAGTGCAACTTAGACAACCATCAACTTTTTAATGGAAAATGAGTTTGGAATATAACGAATAGTCGAGTGATCATTTCGTAACTTTTAATAGTTGAAGGACTTAACAATCAACATTCTATAGTCAAATTACCATTTTTAACTTTTAATAGTCAAAGGACTTAATAAAACAGTATCCTATAGTTGATGGATCATTTGTATACTTTACCCTGATAATAATAACAATAATATTCAAGATATTTAAAATTAAGAATTCTTTTTTTACTGGCCATATTCATATGTAACTAGATATATTTTTTATTTTATTTAAAATTTAAAAAAAGTTATCATTAGTTGAACATCGTTTGTTGAATTATTCTTTATCATATAATAATAATAATAATACACTATCATTTTTTATAATTTTTATTTTAGAATTGTGATTCTTTATAAAAAAAAATTGTGATTCTTTATAAAAAAAATAATAATAATAATAAAATGATTTTATCCTTAGTGATTAAAGGAATCGTTATTGTTTATAGAGATCATGAGTTTGAACACCAACGACTGTAATAAGATAATTAAATATTTATCGTCAAATAATTAAGAGTATTTAAAACATATACTATTTTATAATCACATTGCCTTAACGGAAATAAGTGATACTATTCTCAATGATATTCTCATACAATAATTATTATTGGTTATGTTACATTTTCATGTGGTGATAATATCAAAAAAAACTAAACATGATAATGATATTCCTCCAATGAGCCTCTTTAGGGTTTGGGAGCCGAAAGCAATGCCCGAATCGATTTTGATTTTGCCCATGTGCTCAGCTCAGACATGATAATGATATGATTGATTATGTGTGTACCACGTTATAGACGACCGCCACAAGTGTATATTTGTCTTCGTCTAAACGCCCATTGCGCGGCTTCATGTGCTGGTGCTTTGCCCAAGTGGGGAATGGGAATGACATTGAGTGTCTATGCATGCATTAAGGGTGATTATTAAGTGAGTAGAATGGTAAATAAGATACTGCTCATTAAAAAAAATTTGTTACTCGACTTAACACATTATTCATTAAGTTCGTTAAAATTTAGTTCAACTCATACTCGTTAAGAAAATTATTGCTCGACTGGTTGCTCTTTAAGCTCCTAAAGCTCGTTGCTCGCCTCGTCTCTCGTTAAGTTTGAATTTTTTGTTTTACTTTTTTTAACTATAAGTAAAATCTACTAATACTACATAGAACTTAATATAAACATAAATTAATAAATTTAACCAAAAAAATATCAAAAGTGTTTATGAATAAATTCAAAATCTAAACACCGAAAATAACAATCTATAAATACATTAAATTAATAACAATTAGAGTTTAATTTTTAGGTGTAGTAAAATAATAATAATTAGTTCATTAATAATTTAGTATTTTTAATTATTTATTAGAAAATTAATAGATTAGTAATTTATTATTTTTATTATCTACTTATACGTTAGTAATTTTTTGAATTATATAAATTTTAAGATAATTATTAAAAAATTATAAAAAAATTAATAAATTACTTGCGAACTTATCAAGACGGATTAGTAACTCATTAATGAACTTACTCTGAATGCGACACTATAGGCCTCTAGTCCTTCGCCAATACCAAGGAATTCAATACCCACAGCTTTTATTTTCTTTTTAAGGGTAAAAGAATATACAAAAATCAAGTTTGTGAACAATGTACACATTAAGGTATTGCAAAGTAATACAGCCTTATATTCGTTCTGATTAGAGTGTGTAAAATCGGATATATGATATAATTTGATCTGAAAATTTGAATATTTAAAAATTTCAGATATCTAAAATAATGATTCGTATTTGATCTGAAAAAATTGAATATCCGATTTTATGGATCGGATATCCGGATATCCAAATACGAATATAAAATTTAATTTGATCAAAAAAAGTAATTTTAAATTTTTAAATTTTGTGATTTAACGATAAATATTCGATACTTCTACTATATTATATATATATATATATTTAATTACTACACACAATAAATAATTAAATACTCTAATTATTATTGAGTTAGAGTTTTAATAGGTTAGTGAGCTTATCATTTATTGGTCTAAATGTATCTAAAATTTAAAGGCATAATTTTTTTCTTCAGATTTTCGGATAATTCGAAAGTAGATTTTATCCGATTAGTATCTGATCCGATTATCTAAAAAATTCGAATATCTGATTCGAATTATCCAAAAATCAAAAAACGAATTGGATATCTAAATTTTCAGATCGGATCATCGTATTGAAACTTTTTCCACACCCCTAATTCTATTGTCTCTTTCTCCTCGTTTGTAAAGTAGAATACAGATATCTAAAAGCTTATTCAAAGATGAAGATAAAGTCTTTTAATACAAGATTGATAAGAATAAAAGGAAAATAAAAGCATATTCTCTCAAATCTCAATATGATTTTTTACTTAAATTTCAACTCCCCAACACCCCCACCCAAAAAAAAGCCTCTAAATTTTTTTGGTAATAGCTGTCGGGACGACCGTATGAATTTATGTTAAAAGGTGAGAACATAAAAGATTATATAAAAACTTTAAGATTAATAAATCTCTAAGATGCAAAATTAAATAATTTATATAAAACACCAGAAAATTTTTAATTCTTAGGAGGTGCGACCACACTTTTCGGCCCCTCGATCCATCCCTAATTAGTACTACTTTGGCCTAAATCATCGACCCCTTTGAAAGATATTTGGTGAGCATTTAGCAGCTTTGTCGAGCAAGCTATTTACTTTTGGGAAGTCAGGTGGAGCATGAATGCTTGATATTCAAATAAAACTAAAGGAGGGTAATGATAAATTCCAGTTCCATGATTACATGGCCTCATCTTTTGCGGTGGACAGGAGAGTCATATCCTCAACTTGAGTTCTAAAAATTGATCAAGTCTTCAAGTTTAATGGATTGTGTGTGTTATTAAAATGCAATTAGTTTTCATTTTTAATAGATTTAAGTTATATATATATATAGATCCATTATTGCATGCCCTCATCCTTTGCGGTGGACAAGAGAGTCATATCCTCATTTTGATATCTAAAATTTGATTGATTCTTCAAAGTTCAATGGATCGTGTGTTATTAAAATGTAATTAGTTTTTTTTAATAGATCTAAGTTATATATATATATATATAATAATAATAATATTAATAATAATAATAATAATTTTAGTTAATTTAATTAATTAATCGATTTCGAATCAAAATAATTGATGATAAAAATTAAAAATTATTATTAATCGATTTAACATCTGATTGATTAAATTAAATTTTAATTAAATCGATTAAAACCAAACAATAAACACCCTCAAATTCATGTATACTTCAAGCGTGTTTGGATATCACAATATAATCACGTGAAAAGGTTTTTACTACCCTAATGATTATACTACTACAACAACAACAACAACAAAACCCTATTCCCATATGTAATGTGGTTGGGTAGTGGGATGCCCCCAACGTCAGGTTGAGAACAACTTCCGTGGAAGACTTTCGGCAGTCAGAAAATTAAAAAATAAAGATAAAATACAATGCATGTATAAATAAATAAATAAATACATAGTTGAACAGTCTTCATATGCAGTCTACATATGCGCGTCTGTAATGGATCCCTGCAAATAAATCTCTGCGTAAAAATCTTTACATATAGACAGAAAACGTAAGTCCGAGCTAAATTTAAAAAGAGGAAACATGAAGAGAATGATACACATTAGTTAGATATTGCAAGTTACGAGAATGAATAAAGTCAAATGGGTTAAAACTTAAACTAAGACAATACTACTCCGCTACCGTAATTTTAAACCTTCATAAATTTTAATGGCAGAAACGTATAAAAAGTAGAAGTTATGGAAATTACTACAAATACATTAAAAAGAAGACAGAGATGTTACATCCTATTACTGTGACCCACACTACTCGACTACCCTGATCTTAGGTCTCTATATTTTTCCGGACATATTAAACTTACATAGATTATTTACATCTTAAATTTATATATCAAGTTTGATGATAGATATTATAATAACGCTATTACATTAATTTTAATTTTAAAATAATATTAATTATATATGAACTAAAATATTTTTAATAATTAAAATATTATTATTATTTCTAGAAGTTATGAATTCTCAACGATTATGTTGCTTGCACGCAATGATTGGATTTTACGGTACCCACTTCAGCAAATCTGGACGATCCTCACTCCTCCGCTTTTCGCTAGATCAACGGTTCAAAATATAGTTTTAGCTAATTGTTCTATATTTTAATAAAAAAAACCTTTAATCATTAACTTCCACCATTGCATCTTGACCGTTGGATGCATTTTACTACCCCCTTTAAAAAGTATCTATAAATTCGAGAAGAAAACTTTGTTTATATATTTATCGGTTAAGAGAAACCTTTTGAGAGAAAGTAATGGGAAAAAATAGGGATGAGTGAGAGATCGTAAAATTTAGGGTTCTCTACTTTCCCTTTTGTTATTGGTTGATTAATGAAGTCTCTCCTTCTCCGACATGTTGAATTTCACCCTTTTTTACCAGTGAATTCAACGTGTTTTTTGATTTTCTTATCCACTCGACCAAAAGCCTGAGTTTTTTCCCCCCGGGAAATTCTTTTCTTCCGGTGCTTGTTTCGTTTGGCAATCATGGATTATTTCGATTTTCTCTGGAATTTCTTTTTTTAATCAAAATCGAACTACCTGTTCTAAAAATTTTGAGCTTTGAATAGTTTTTTTAAATTAAAAAAAACTAAAAGAACTGTTGTTCTTTTTATTGGGGTGGAAGTTGTAAATTTGTTTTTTTTGACGACTCTAGTCATGCACCTTTTGAGCTAAGAAAAATAAGGTTCATGAACGGTGGACTTTTAAGAGGAAAACCATTGCTGTTTGAAAAAGACCTGTTTTCACTGGATAATTTTGTCTTGCTTTAAAAAAAAGGGATTCTGTAGAGAAGACAGTTTGCTAGAGCCATAATTACAAGTTTTTTACTTCAATTATGGTTGAAAAAATATATTGGATTCATTTAATATCTTTCCAAGTTTTGTTCTAATTTTGAACTAGATTGATGGGTTAATTGATTGTCTAACTGCGAGAAAGCTAACCTTTGAAACTTTAAAAAAGTTTTTGAGTTTTAATGTTGTTAAAAGATGGCAGTTTCTTTTCATAGGTTTCCATGGTGGTTTTGGGGTGGTGGAAATAAGGAGAAACAGCCAGTTTCAAATGGGTCTTCTTTAAATTCTCTGAATTCTTCTTCTTCTTCTTCTTCTACTTCTGATTGGGGATTGGGCTTGAGAGAGTCTGAAACTATTAAATTCCAAACAAAGATAACCCAAAGGAAAGGAAAGACAAAGTGGCAAGGTAGTGAGGAGAGGAAGGTGATTGATGAAGAATGTGATGTTGTGGTGATTCCATCAGATGGTTTACATTTGTCTGGATATGATTCAGAAGGTCCAGAATGGTCCATTGGTTGGGAAGAACCACATGGTCCTGGCTTTCAAGGCCATGATGAGGATGATGGTGGGTTTGCTGTTCTGGTTCCATCTTATAGACCTGGTTGCAAGGAACTCGCCGAAAGCCCCAATAACCAGCTCTTGAGTGCAATCGAGAACCTCCCTACTGGATTCTCTTCCGGTGAGAGCTTATTTCTGTATAAATAATTCCCTTTTTCATTTCTGATATTTGATTTGATTGAATGTGGATTGGCATTTAGAATCTGCTTAAAAGTTTTACCCTGGATCTTTAAGGCTAGTTGATCGTTTTTGTTTCATCTTTAGTTGCACCTCAGTCTTTGAAGCTACATGTTTTTATAACTGCATTCGTCGTTCTTTATGCCTGTTTGTGCTTTGACTGTAAGCTTTTGCTGTCTCTACTTCACATATATATCACTGTTCTGTACTAGGTAACATCAAGTGCTACATTTTTGGTAGCATGTGTAGCTTCTTGCTTGATCACTGCACATAATTCTTGCAGCATCCATTTTTCAATTTGTTGAAATCTGTGATGGAATAATATACATTAAAGTGTAATAAAAGCTTCACACAATTTTTGGAACTTAGTGAACGGTGGAGAGCAGCCTCTAGTGTTGAAAGTTACTCTTTTAGTTCCTTTAAATATGGGAAAAGTATAAACAGAAACGGGTGCATCCTTTATCACTTTTTCCCCCTTTCATGTTGAATATCCTATCTGTCAGCTTGTTAGAGTGAGATTTGGGGGAAAAGTGTTTGGATAGTATGAAGTATCTACAATTCTGAAATAATTGGTTGGTAATCATTGATGAACTTCTCCAAATGTATCAATTGAACTTTGCTGCATCTCAATTTTCAGAGTGAACTATTAATGTTGCCCCCCAGCTATCGTAGCCGGAGCGTAAACCAATTTAAACTCCCCATCTTCAACATTTTTCTCATTTCATTTAGTTCTCAATTTCTTCTCCCCAAATCAACTCTTAAACTTCTTCAAATCTTCATTAACGTCATGGGCATTGAGGAATGCTTTGAGGATGAGATTGTTCAAGTGAATAATATGTAATTTTTAATTTTAGTGAACTAACTTATTATTATGTAAAAGTTATGCGCATTGTTTTTTTGATCGTTTAGTTTTAAAATTAATTACTTACGTCTCCATTGCTTAGGGGTCCCTTTTTTTATTTTTGCTCCGGATCCCGATAATGGCCGAGACAGCCCTTCTAATGTATTTGTTGCTAGCTTCAACCTTGAGTGAACTTTTATAGTTTTAAGTATCAAACAATGTTGTATACCTTTCAGCTTGCATGCTTATATCTAGACCTGCTTGGTAGTGTGCCTCATAAACATTATCAATCTCAAATCACTTCTCATTGTCTCTATGAATAATCATCTGTGGCTTAGGGTGAGGCATTGAACTTATTATCTTTTATCCTCAATGTGATGGATTCCATATTGCAGTTCTTGTTATTCATGAGTTCTGGATGTTTCTGAGCTGTTAAAAGATGTTAGTAAATGTAGTTTTTCTTTCCTATAACCATTTTCTTTGCATTTTGGCTAAAACATGCAGAGGGAAGCAACTTGGTGCCGCCGTGGTTTTCGTCCTTCCCGAACTTCTGAACCGACTGACAGTCTGTAGGTGAAGTTTAATGATTCAGCGGAGGGTTCTCATGAAGAAGTAATTAGCATCAGTGTGTAATGTATATATTTTATGAAGAAAACGAAGTCGCGATTATGGTGGAGATGGGATCTGCATCAGCTTCTGGTAGAATTCAGGGGTCAACAACAGCTATGGAGGATGGAGATATTTCCATGATGTCACTCTGTTTTGGTTAGTCATCCTCCCTGCTTACATTCGTTTGAGAGACACTCGTTTCTTCACGGATGGGATCTCACTATCTTTTCGCGGAACACCTTTTTAAGTTAAATATACGATGAACACTTGTATCCAAATCTATATAATACATAATTTAAAACACGTGTTTTCTTAATATTGTAAGAATCGTTTCAAATATCAAACCATCGGACTTTTTAAGTTGACGCCCTCGTATTTTTCTCTCTTCTATTTTGGTCGCTAAATTTTAAAAGTTTTCAATTTAATCACTCAACTTTTAAATTACTCATGTTTTAATTATCATGATTTAATCACTCAACTTGTAAATTGCTCCTGTTTTAATTATCATGATTTATTTTATTAATATTTATATATGATATGACATTTTTTCATTTCAATCAAAGATTTCTCTTTTTTTTTTTTTTTGCCTTCATTATCAGATTTAGTGAACCCATATTAAACATGTGAAAAAATTGAAAAAATTAGAGATGAGCTACTTGAACGGGTAATAAAAAAAAAGAAAGAAATCTTTGATTGAAAAAGAACAAAAAATAAGATGAGATGATAAAGGAGAAAAGTGGAGATTTGGAAATAAATAAAGGAGTGAGATTATTTTTTTAATTTAATTATATTTTTGGGAATATATTTTTGTTTTAATATAATTTTAAAAATTTAAATTTAATTATATATTAATAAAATAAGAATAATAAATGTCACATCATATATAAATATTAATAAAATAAATTATGATGATTATAACATGAATAATTTAAAGGTTGAATAATTAAATTGAAATTTTTTACATTTTAGTGACTAAAATAGAAGAGAAAAAAATAAGATATTGAGTTATTTTTTTAAGTTGGAGGGTTAGATTGAGAGAAAAAAAAGATGTTAGTCTGTTTAACGTGTCATTCAGTATAAAATAATATAATTATTGATCAATGACATAAAACGTTAGTGAATTATATTAAATTTTTCCAGACTTAGAGGGCAACGATAAATTTTTTTTAAAGTTTGAGGTCTCAAATATCTTTTTACCCAGATTAAGAAAAGGTATCGAGTTGTATTTCAAACTGTCGAATCAGTGTTTAACAATAAAATTAAAAAGAATTAAATTTTTTAAATATAAACAACATAAATATTTAATATTTAACCCATTATTTTATGATTGATCGGCCAACCACATATGCTTTCTTCAAGCCTTTTCGTCATTCTTATCAGCAAACCCTGATCCAATCATGGATGATGGATTGACATTGGGCTGATCGACCGAGTCCGACTCATCAAAAAGGTAATGCCGATTCCACTAATTTCATCCAACGGTCCATATCAACGAGAATACAACGACGCGATGTAAACCTCTTTTGCTCGCATCAACTCTGCGAAAACCACGTCCTTCTCCACTCTTCGATCATTCGGAACGACAAACGGTCCATTTTCTTCTTAATCGTTTTTTCTGTGAAGAGAAAATGTGTTACGGTCACCAAAGGCGATCTCTCTCACCGAACCGTCCGTCCCGCAACAACAATGCTTTGGCGGTGGATACGCTTCGTGTTCGGCTAGCCGAGACGGAAGCTCGTCTCGAGCGAGCCAGGGCTCGAGAGGCCGAACTCACTCGCAGGCTCGAAGAAATGAAGCGTTTCGTTTCCGTCATGGAAATCCTCGAGTCCTACCTCAAACAACGGTTTCACGAGCAACGAGAATACGTGGAGCGCATCTTCTCTTCGCTTCCTGCTAAATAAAACAGAAGCTTTTCCCTCGCCGAACTTTACAGAATATCTTTTTGTTAATACCTCCCTCTTACAATACTTTGTCTTTGTTGTTTTTGTGTATGCGTTATCCTGTTTAATAGATGGAAGGAATTACATTACAGCTGGTTTGAAAATGTGAAAGGATTGTTTCTTGCACTTAGGGTTTGAATAGCTCAAAATTTGTTGGGGGTTTTATGGAAAATTAGTGAATTTACTATTTTTTGTATTAAATTGTTTGGTTTGATGTTAATTATGAGTTGAATGAGTTCTACAAATTGGTGTTCTCAATCTCAATGTGTTGCTTAATTTATACTGATTCGATAACCTCATATCAGGTGGAAGTTTCTTGCATTACAGGGCTAAATCATATTCGTCGATTGAATATTTAAGTTAAGAAAAAGTGGATAGCGTGGTCAGGTGTTTGTTGCAGGCACGAGAGGTACAAGGCCAAGATCTCTGTAAAATACACTTTGTAGTTGCTTTGGTGAGTGAGTTCAAGAAGTGGGTGTTTTGTCTTTGTTGTTAGTCCTTTTTTATCTCATTTTATTTGTTAATTGTTAGTTTATATTGATTTGAGAAGTGTCGTTTTAGGTGGAAGTTTTTGGCATTAGGAGGCTAAACACAATCTTTGATTGTGTGTTTAAGTTGTGAGCATTCAGGTGGCAAGTATGCTGAGGTGTTGCATTCTAGTTTCAGGTTGTATGGAGTTGAACAGAGTCATGGAAGGCATAGCACATAATAGTAATATAGTAACATGTATAAAAGATCTCAGGCTGTATTGAGTTGAACAGAGTCATGGCAGTGCTTATTGCATTTTGGTTTCAGGTTGGTATTAGGGCACCTTTTTTAAGCTGAAGGAATCAGGCAAGTAGATTTTTTTAAGGGTGGGGGTGTATCTGTGTTTTTTATTCTTAAAGAACATCTTGTTTTACTGAATATGAACAGCTAACCGTTAGTTGATGGAACGTGAATGAAACAATTCATATGAGATGGTGTGCTTCTCAGAGGAACAAAGAAAGAACTGGGAAAGAGGACGGGAAAGTTGCGTGTTGGAATTGGAAGTTTTGAAAGCTAGGCTTGTGTTTTATAGGCATATATTATAACATGCGGACATAATTCTTCGCATGTATGATATATTTTGTGGATAGTATATCTGACTTTTACCAATATGTATTCTTTATGGCTAGTTTTGGCAGCTATAAATCAAGGAAAAAGCTTCCCCCCCTGCCCGGCTGTGTGCTGACTGAATATAGGAGTGTTATGGGGTGTTATGAGGTTCTGCCCGCTTAGAAGATCATTGATGATTTTAGTCTTTCATGCGGTCGAATTTGAAGTACTTGGTGGTGGTTAATGGTGGTTTGTCATATTTGAAGGTGATGTTAACAGATCTCGATTTTGATACCAATTAAGCAATGACTGAAGGAAGAAATAGTTTCGATCTTTTTGCCGCGTTTATCTCACCATGTTGGAATTTGTGTTTCCTGACGTTATTTTCCCACCGATTCTTGGCTGATCCTAGTTAATCGATGACGGGCATGGGCTTTTTTACCATACGAGAGGAGAACTTTCGCTGAAACTTCTTAACAAGGTTCTAATGCTTGGTTTTTCTCTTACTTCCGCATGGTTCCTCGATCATCTTGCATGTACCCCTCATTAATATTTCCACCGAGGACCATCAATTTCCCTCCACGTGAAATGTACAGGTCATAAAAACCAGTATAATCAGATCGATGACTGTACAGTATAAACTAATCTCATAGAACCCCCCATAGCCATAAAGCTATATAGACTTGGACACTAGTCTGTCTTCTCTTGCTCATACTAGATATTTTCAGCTTCTCTTCACTCACCGCGCTTGGCGGAAGTTTTTCGGCCGATGAAGAAGATGAAAAATAGATGCTCAAATGAAGAAAAGCAGAACTGAAGGCAAAAGTGCTTGATGTTTTTGCTTCTGGTATGTTGAGAACTTGTAGACGTTCTCAAAGAAGAAAAGTCAGGTGTAATATCTTTCATCAACCTAATATCAATTTGAATAAAATATACCAACAAAAAAAGAAATTCTTAAATTCTCAAAGGGTTAATCATACAATTATACTACTTTATTAGTGATTCATATTTGATCAACACATATAAAAACTGGGTTAGTTTGTAATATCTATAAATCATAATATTAGTAATTTTATTAGTGATATTTAATAATTGTATGATCAATCGCATCATCTTAAATTTAATTATAATAAAATTAAATTATTAAAATTTATATTATATTAATTATATTTACAATATTTATATCCACATAATTAATTATAAGTAATAGATATAATATAGTTTTGATTATCCATACACTATAATAGCACAATTACTTATTAACCTGGTTACACGTTAAATTATATATGTAATATAGCATTACACAATTTAAGAATTATAAATTAAATAACTCATCAAGTAGTCTCAATAATTAAAAGGAAAGTTGTTCTTTTTAGATGTTCTGAGTTCAAGAAATTATATTTGTAAGATGTGTGAGTTCAAGAAACTCGTCAACCACTTATGTTTTTCCCCCTTAACATTTTAGGGTTTTTTTTTTGTCTTTGTTGCGCTTTGCTTTTGTGCTATTTGGTTGTAGTATCCTATATAAATCTGATGAAACAGACAACAGGGGACATAGCTCATATGGCAAAGCACTTCCTTTGAATACGAGAAGTACGGATTTTGATTCCCCGCATCAGTGTGGGGGTGTAGCTCATATGGTAGAGCGCTCGCTTCGCATGCGAGAGGCACGGGGTTCGATTCCCCGCACCTCCATTTTACATGATTTGCATTTCTATATGCTGTTTTCTTTTTAGCAGAGCCCAGTTTACGAACTTGGTTGAATGGGCTTAAAAACCTTTGTTCTTCCAGAAAAGGAAAAACAAAAACTATCTATTGTGTACACAATCCGATTAGGAAAAAAAATACGAAAATAATATAATTTATTTCACATATATATAATAAATATTTCATCTATCCTATTAAAATTTATTTCACATATAATAAATTAACGTCGTTGAAGATCCGAGTATATAAATGAGTAACGTTAGACTCCGGACATTTATGATGCTCAGGTCCTCAAAGAAAAAACAACAATATCTTTACCACAAGTATAAACTATACTTCTTTATAAGTGCTTAAATTATTTTTTGACTCATTCAGGAGTCTAACGTTACTCATTCACATACTCGGACCTTCAACGACGTTAATTTATCAGTTAAGTAACACATGTCACAATCTTGTGCTTTTAAAATTTTTATTAAAAATAAAAAAATAGAAATATATATTTTTAAAGAAAAACATAAACATTTTGAAATAACCCCAAAACTTTGAAAAAGTTCATTTCAACCCCTAAACCAAAATAAGTGCTCAAACTATA